TTTGGGTATACAGCTACAATCCAATACTACAAATACAGGCAAATGGTCACTTATATCACTCACTATCAGTCCACTAATAGCATCATTCAGGACATTTGTTAGGATATTATCAATTAGTGTAGCACTGTGAGAAGTTATTCGAGTGGGTCTTGTGATTTTGGGATATAAATTGATTCTATAGATTGTGTGAATAAAATCTTCAACCATTCTCTGCTTTTTTGGATTTAGTAAATCAATATTAAAATCCCCGCACACAATTACACATTTTTCGGCCTTTCCATTAAATAGTTCCTCCATTTTCTCGCTGAACTGATCTATACAGCAACTAGGCATTCGATATATACAACTAATAATAACATTTTTTAACTTTTCTCTCTGGATCTCTATTGTTATGCATTCTAGCACATTGTCCACTGCAATAGTCATTTTATCCACCACATGAAAATCCAAATTTGAGTTTACAAATAATGCAACTCCCCCACCACTTTTGTTTTTCCTATCCATGTGTACAAAATCATACCCAACCAATTCAAAGTTGCTTTCCTTTTCCACACTAATCCACGTCTCTGATATTGCAATTATATCAAACGGCTGCACAAGATTATGTAAGTAGTTCTTTATATGATCAAAATTAGCATACATACTACGACTGTTTACATGTATTACCGATATTTTTCCGTCCTTATTGATTCGATTCAGCATATCATCAGTGTAATATCCACAGGTATCATTGTCTATGCCAGCGAAAAAGTCGTTTCCCGGATCACAATCCCGATCAATGTCCCGCTCAATGTGATCTGAAAATTTAAATGTTCGAGTGTCCGAGAGGTCAAGGCCATTGTTTATGGAACTCCCTACCAATGTAAAGTTATTTGTCCTTGTGTTTGCCATTTTTATCACTGAGTTCATCTCACATGTCCATTCTTGATTATCTATTGATATTTGACCAACTCCTCCGCACTCCTCACCACAAGTACCTTTGCTTCTTCAGGTGGTCCATTTAGCTTTATGAACACTTTGCAGCTTGCAGTCCATGTATGCTGTATTTTCTTCATCTTCTTGAGGTATCTAGCTTGTTTGGCAATATCGGCGTTCTGCTTTGTCAAGTGTTCATTGAGATAGACGTTCGTACCCTTGAGCTTTCTTCCTTCTTTAAGTAGTGCAATCTTATGTTTTCGATTTATAAATCTGATAATAATGGGAGGTAGATTTAGATCTGTAATCTCCCTCAAGAAAACATGTTATGTAAAAACACATGTTTGGCCATGTTGTCTTTTAACTTGGCTTCATGCTGTATCTGTAATGTTGTATGTAGAGAGAAATGTTATGTTTATGTATGTTTATACATCTTAAAGTACAATTCATGGCTCAAACTGTAGTGGGAGTACAAATGACTGGACCAATAATCCTCATCAGACAGCGGATTCCAGCTTCCTGAGCAATTCCTCTCTGGGGCAAGGTCTCCACTGAAAAGGAGATTGTGAAACCTCAGTGAGACTGATATGGTCCTGGTTGAATAAATAAATACATAATAATTCAGTTTGAAGTTGAGTGCTTTTGTTTCACAATATAATAAATAGCAATACTCATTTACAACATATACACTGGTCAAAGTGTTTTTCCGCCTCATATTTCCACTCAGTTATGCAGAACTACTGTTTTAAGACCTCTTTTCATATCAACCGTAATCCAATAGACATCTATGAAATCATTCTCAACCAAGTGTAGTAGTGCCATAAATGCACACTCAATAAGTTTCCCAACGATAATATAAGTGTATTGTCCTCATAACGTACGATAAAGCGGGCGTATAAGAAGTATATTGCATTGTTATTGTTAAGCAGAGGGATAACATTAATCTGGGTGCAGCTCTATGGTTTGCACTTAAACATTGATATTCCTAGGGGACAGACCAGAGGGATAAAGGTCTCTGCGCCAACAGTGGCCTTGCATTGTTATTTTGAAACGGTAACATCAGCTAATAATAATGTTGTGGTCGTGGAAAACATCGATAATAGGCTCATATAGCATCACTGTACTGTATATACAAAGCCATTTTACAGGCCACGCTTTCACAATATGACAGACTGTTGTTGACATACAGAGCTGAACTAGTAGAGAGAATTTTCGAATCTGATTTCTACAAATTAAAAGTTACATATCGGTTTGCAAGGGATATGTCGACTTGTCCAGGAAAAGCACTGGAAATAACTTCATCCCACTCACAGGAATAGCGTAGGAAGCTGGTGGGTGTACTTTCAGTGCTAGCATACTATTCTCTCAGTGGATAACATTATTTTGTCGTTGGATTTTGTCATGTCAAATGAGAGCAATCTCAGGTTACAGAAAGTTTGTTGGTTAAGAATTGCACGTTCATGATGCTCGACTTGCATTTGCTGCATGTACAGAATATAACTGCACTGTATTCAGAAGTGTGTTGTATTTCGTCAATATCCAGTTTGACTTTTTACCCGTCATCTGTTCATTGCCCAAGATATTTGCCTGACATACTTTACAAGAGCTAGCTTCCCCTAACAAACTAGCAATTAGCAAAACTTGACTGCATTACGTAGCCCTAGCTGTGTCCACCGTCTTGTGTCTGGATAAATCATTGACAGCATCTTTAAATAAATTAACTTTAGTCTGGGAACCATCCATTCACTTTCTCACTGGAGATTGTACGTTGCCATTTCTCAGGCCCTACAAATGTTGATGATGCTTCTTCCTGTCGTGAATCAATTCAACCCGAACAAATCCTGCTGTTTATGCCATTGGGTTAAACATCCAGGAAGCTAGATTTGCGTCCGCTGCCATCTGATAAATCCATAAACAAACTACACGCTTCCGTCTGTTGAATAGTGTGTCATCACTATCCCTTCTGTGATTGGTCCCCACATCCATGCCAACATTTTGGCCGGGGGTTTGAAATGATTTCAGCGCACGCAGCAGCACGGCTATCCCCAGGATACTTCAAAATGACTGCTTATTGTGATTATGGACGTCACATACATTTTTATGTTATATGCGTGCGTGTGTGTGTGCGTGTGCGTGTGCATGCCTGCGTGTGTGTGTGTGCGTGTGTGTGTGTGCGTGTGCATGCCTGCGTGTGTGTGTGTGCGTGTGTGTGTGTGCGTGTGCATGCCTGCGTGTGCGTGCGTGTGTGTGTGTGTGTGCAACTACATAGGGGACAAAAACATGCAGAGTAAAAAGTGGATACTATTTATAGACAGTGAAGATGTCTTATACACATGTTTTGGACCCACCTCTGACTGTATTTGAGCCAAATCAAACATTGACAATATAAACTGCTCTATAACAGTCCTTCAGAAATATATTCAAAACAGTAAACGTTAATATATGTAGATCCAGTGGCTTTTAATGTCTCTTGTGATTTTCCTTGTATTAAACCAAATCCTCTGTGTGTTGTTGATAAAGATGAAAGTATCACCTCTTTAGAAGCGATGTGATTATCTTCAAGTGCAGGTGATAACCCCACAATCCATCCGAACATGCAACACGCCGCAACACAAGCCCAGGCTGAACCACTTCATCAAAACTCTAATACAGTACATTAAAAATATAGTGAGAGCTTTGCTATTGATTCAGGGTGATATGAACCCGGGGGATCCCAGTCAAGAAGCAGAGGCTGGAAGGACTCACTACAGCTGAGACCATCTGCCACAGAAAAAGTCTACAAAGAACAGTTCATCCAACATGGCTGACTTTTGGAATTTACATTGAATCCAATTATTAGATGTTTTTTTGTTAATGTCCTTATTACATTTAACATAATGTGCATGTTAGTGGTGGTACTCAATTGCAGGTCTGTAATTAATCACAAATAATTGCACTTTCCAAAATGATTCAATAACTAGAAAGTCGCATGAGTTCAAACTGTTCAGGACACTGTACAAACGGTTTAAAGGCTTGAATAAACACTTCTATGAGGCTCCTCTAAACACATGCAGAGGTCTGACTCTGAGCCGGCTCAGGGCTCGCACTGGACAGACAGGCTCCAGAAGACACAACAATAAACATTCTTTAAACTAAAGACTTGGTCGTCCTCCTGAACATGTTTTTATGTTCGCAGAATTACAAATCTCCAACAGACCATGACCAGATCAGATCTGTCACATTTACAGCTGTACTAGACACATGCATACAGAACGTTTCCAGTTTGGGGAGAAATTGATGTGATTAATTGTGTGATAAAAGTGCATTCATTTATTTGTTTTTAATAATAGAAATAAACATTCCTCATCACCAGCTGCACTTCAGATGAATACTCCATTAATCCAGGGTTATTTGCTTAAATTAGAGCCACCTTTTCATGATTCCACATCAGCTACTGACAGACACCTGACTTTCCTCTTGTGGGATTATAAAAAGTATTAATCAATCATCAATCAGTTAATTTTGGTGCACATAAGTCCAAACTATTGATTAGTTGACACTTATACATGATATAAAAACATGCATGGTCATCCAAAACATTAATACTGAATTATGGTCTATACATAATCTTCAGCCTCCGCTGAAAGATCTCAGCTCCTGTGGACTCAGCACCTGCAGGAGGATCAGTGAGGGGCTGGTGCTCTGTGGACTGGGTGCAGCTCTGACTGCCACCCCCCCCGACCCAGAAATGGATTAAGGGGAAGAAGATGGATGGATGGATGGATGGTCTATACATTAAAATGTTGAAAACAGGAATTGTTGGTATCAGTATCAGGTCAATATCAAACTGAAAAGTATTGATCATCAAACATGCACACTTACCCTTCCATAATGTTCAGAAACGTGCACCTTGATCTCTGGGAGAATCCAGGGGCACTAATGACAGACAAAATGAAAGATGAGCCAGAGTAATTGTGCAATGGAAAGTATCCGTAACCCAATTAACACGGCACTGCGACCTTGGGTGCATTCAGATCTGCTCTGATATGTTTCCTGATGCGTTCTGACACACTAGTTAAGGGAATCATTTCCTTGTGCATGGTGCTATGAGCAACGTAATTGCACTTTAGGGTTTAGAGTTATTGCATTATGTAAATGACTTGAGAGTCATGTGGAGGATAACTTAATGATGTCCCTAACCAGCAATCAGCATGACAGAAAAGAGTTGTTTGGCCAATCTGCCCATTTAAATATATTAGCTCCAACACCTGCTGCAGCGTTAGAGTCCAGGAGTTGTGTGGTCAACTTTGGCACTGAAATTCAGTTTACATTAAACTGATAATTCAGTTGAATCTCCCAATTTTTTTCCATAAGTATATGGTGTGTTCGAAAAAGTTCGAAGACACAAAAAAGCTTCAAATTGTCAGAACTCAGAACTTCCAATTTTTTTTTTTCATTTATTTATTTCAAACCTCTAGTGTATACATACAGGAAAACAGAAGTACAAAGTCTGCTTGGTTTGAAAGGGGGATGATGGAAGCTTACATTATATAAAACCTCCCCCACACACTCCACCTGCAGACAAATCATGTTCACCAATGATTACAACATTCAACACAAACACAAACACACACACAGGCCCAATACTCTCCGACCCCACACCCCTCTCCTACATCACAATTACATACAATGTATCACATTCTCTCCTCCAGGTACTTTTCCATCACAAAACTTTGAAAATATCGTTTGAACTGTTTCAGGTCCTCAGTGAGTTTTCCACAGACTCCTCTCACAGACAGACTCACTCCTGTCACAGACTCACTCCTCTCACAGACTCCTCTCACAGACTCACTCCTGTCACAGACTCCTCTCACAGACTCACTCCTGTCACAGACTCACTCCTCTCACAGACTCACTCCTCTCACAGACTCTCACAGACTCACTCCTCTCACAGACTCACTCCTGTCACAGACTCCTCTCACAGACTCCTCTCACAGACTCACTCCTCTCACAGACTCCTCTCACAGCTCACTCCTCTCACAGACTCCTCTCACAGACTCACTCCTCTCACAGACTCCTCTCACAGACTCTCTCCTCTCACAGACTCCTCTCACAGACTCACTCCTCTCACAGACTCCTCTCACAGACTCTCTCCTCTCACAGACTCACTCCTCTCACAGACTCACTCCTCTCACAGACTCACTCCTCTCACAGACTCACTCCTCTCACAGACTCACTCCTCTCACAGACTCACTCCTCTCACAGACTCACTCCTGTCACAGACTCACTCCTCTCACAGACTCACTCCTCTCACAGACTCCTCTCACAGACTCACTCCTCTCACAGACTCCTCTCACAGACTCACTCCTGTCACAGACTCCTCTCACAGACTCCTCTCACAGACTCACTCCTCTCACAGACTCCTGTCACAGACTCCTCTCACAGACTCACTCCTCTCACAGACTCCTCTCACAGACTCACTCCTGTCACAGACTCACTCCTCTCACAGACTCCTGTCACAGACTCCTCTCACAGACTCACTCCTCTCACAGACTCACTCCTCTCACAGACTCCTCTCACAGACTGACTCCTCTCACAGACTCACTCCTCTCACAGACTCCTCTCACAGACTCACTCCTCTCACAGACTCCTCTCACAGACTCCTCTCACAGACTCACTCCTGTCACAGACTCACTCCTCTCACAGACTCCTCTCACAGACTCCTCTCACAGACTCACTCCTCTCACAGACTCACTCCTGTCACAGACTCCTCTCACAGACTCACTCCTCTCACAGACTCCTCTCACAGACTCACTCCTGTCACAGACTCCTCTCACAGACTCACTCCTCTCACAGACTCCTCTCACAGACTCCTCTCACAGACTCCTCTCACAGACTCCTCTCACAGACTCCTCTCACAGACTCCTCTCACAGACTCCTCTCACAGACTCCTCTCACAGACTCCTCTCACACCCTCACAGACTCCTCTCACAGACTCACTCCTCTCACAGACTCCTCTCACAGACTCACTCCTCTCACAGACTCACTCCTCTCACAGACTCACTCCTCTCACAGACTCCTCTCACAGACTCACTCCTGTCACAGACTCCTCTCACAGACTCCTCTCACAGACTCCTCTCACAGACTCACTCCTCTCACAGACTCTCCTCACAGACTCCTCTCACAGACTCCTCTCACAGACTCCTCTCACAGACTCCTCTCACAGACTCCTCTCACAGACTCACTCCTCTCACAGACTCACTCCTCTCACAGACTCACTCCTCTCACAGACTCACTCCTCTCACAGACTCACTCCTCTCACAGACTCACTCCTGTCACAGACTCCTCTCACAGACTCACTCCTCTCACAGACTCACTCCTGTCACAGACTCACTCCTGTCACAGACTCCTCTCACAGACTCCTCTCACAGACTCACTCCTGTCACAGACTCACTCCTCTCACAGACTCACTCCTCTCACAGACTCCTCTCACAGACTCCTCTCACAGACTCACTCCTGTCACAGACTCACTCCTCTCACAGACTGACTCCTCTCACAGACTGACTCCTCTCACAGACTCACTCCTCTCACAGACTCCTCTCACAGACTCACTCCTGTCACAGACTCACTCCTCTCACAGACTCCTCTCACAGACTCCTCTCACAGACTCCTCTCACAGACTCCTCTCACAGACTCCTCTCACAGACTCACTCCTCTCACAGACTCACTCCTCTCACAGACTCACTGCTGTCACAGACTCCTCTCACAGACTCACTCCTGTCACAGACTCCTCTCACAGACTCACTCCTCTCACAGACTCACTCCTCTCACAGACTCCTCTCACAGACTCACTCCTCTCACAGACTCACTCCTCTCACAGACTCACTCCTCTCACAGACTGACTCCTCTCACAGACTCCTCTCACAGACTCACTCCTGTCACAGACTCCTCTCACAGACTCACTCCTCTCACAGACTCACTCCTGTCACAGACTCACTCCTCTCACAGACTCACTCCTCTCACAGACTCACTCCTCTCACAGACTCCTCTCACAGACTCCTCTCACAGACTCACTCCTCTCACAGACTCCTCTCACAGACTCACTCCTCTCACAGACTCACTCCTCTCACAGACTCCTCTCACAGACTGACTCCTCTCACAGACTCACTCCTCTCACAGACTCCTCTCACAGACTCCTCTCACAGACTCACTCCTCTCACAGACTCCTCTCACAGACTCACTCCTCTCACAGACTCCTCTCACAGACTCACTCCTCTCACAGACTGACTCCTCTCACAGACTCCTCTCACAGACTGACTCCTCTCACAACTCCTCTCACAGACTCACTCCTCTCACAGACTCCTCTCACAGACTCCTCTCACAGACTCACTCCTCTCACAGACTCCTCTCACAGACTCACTCCTCTCACAGACTCACTCCTCTCACAGACTCACTCCTCTCACAGACTCCTCTCACAGACTCACTCCTCTCACAGACTCCTCTCACAGACTCCTCTCACAGACTGACTCCTCTCACAGACTGACTCCTCTCACAGACTGACTCCTCTCACAGACTCACTCCTCTCACAGACTCCTCTCACAGACTCACTCCTCTCACAGACTCCTCTCACAGACTCACTCCTCTCACAGACTCACTCCTCTCACAGACTCCTCTCACAGACTCACTCCTCTCACAGACTCACTCCTCTCACAGACTCCTCTCACAGACTCACTCCTCTCACAGACTCCTCTCACAGACTCACTCCTGTCACAGACTCACTCCTCTCACAGACTGACTCCTCTCACAGACTCACTCCTCTCACAGACTCCTCTCACAGACTCACTCCTGTCACAGACTCACTCCTCTCACAGACTCCTCTCACAGACTCACTCCTCTCACAGACTCACTCCTCTCACAGACTCACTCCTCTCACAGACTCCTCTCACAGACTCCTCTCACAGACTCCTCTCACAGACTCACTCCTCTCACAGACTCCTCTCACAGACTCCTCTCACAGACTCACTCCTCTCACAGACTCCTCTCACAGACTCCTCTCACAGACTCACTCCTCTCACAGACTCCTCTCACAGACTCACTCCTGTCACAGACTCCTCTCACAGACTCCTCTCACAGACTCCTCTCACAGACTCCTCTCACAGACTCCTCTCACAGACTCACTCCTCTCACAGACTCCTCTCACAGACTCACTCCTGTCACAGACTCACTCCTCTCACAGACTCACTCCTCTCACAGACTCCTCTCACAGACTCACTCCTCTCACAGACTCACTCCTCTCACAGACTCACTCCTCTCACAGACTCCTCTCACAGACTCCTCTCACAGACTCCTCTCTCACAGACTCACTCCTCTCACAGACTCCTCTCACAGACTCCTCTCACAGACTCCTCTCACAGACTCACTCCTCTCACAGACTCCTCTCACAGACTCCTCTCACAGACTCCTCTCACAGACTCACTCCTCTCACAGACTCCTCTCACAGACTCACTCCTCTCACAGACTCACTCCTCTCACAGACTCACTCCTGTCACAGACTCACTCCTCTCACAGACTCCTCTCACAGACTCACTCCTCTCACAGACTCACTCCTCTCACAGACTCCTCTCACAGACTCACTCCTCTCACAGACTCCTCTCACAGACTCCTCTCACAGACTCACTCCTCTCACAGACTCACTCCTGTCACAGACTCACTCCTCTCACAGACTCCTCTCACAGACTCACTCCTCTCACAGACTCCTCTCACAGACTCACTCCTCTCACAGACTCCTCTCACAGACTCACTCCTGTCACAGACTCCTCTCACAGACTCACTCCTCTCACAGACTCACTCCTCTCACAGACTCACTCCTCTCACAGACTCCTCTCACAGACTCACTCCTCTCACAGACTCTCTCCTCTCACAGACTCACTCCTCTCACAGACTCCTCTCACAGACTCCTCTCACAGACTCACTCCTCTCACAGACTCCTCTCACAGACTCACTCCTGTCACAGACTCCTCTCACAGACTCCTCTCACAGACTCCTCTCACAGACTCCTCTCACAGACTCCTCTCACAGACTCACTCCTCTCACAGACTCCTCTCACAGACTCACTCCTCTCACAGACTCACTCCTGTCACAGACTCACTCCTCTCACAGACTCACTCCTCTCACAGACTCCTCTCACAGACTCACTCCTCTCACAGACTCACTCCTCTCACAGACTCACTCCTCTCACAGACTCCTCTCACAGACTCCTCTCACAGACTCACTCCTCTCACAGACTCCTCTCACAGACTCCTCTCACAGACTCCTCTCACAGACTCACTCCTCTCACAGACTCCTCTCACAGACTCCTCTCACAGACTCCTCTCACAGACTCACTCCTCTCACAGACTCCTCTCACAGACTCACTCCTCTCACAGACTCACTCCTCTCACAGACTCACTCCTGTCACAGACTCACTCCTCTCACAGACTCCTCTCACAGACTCACTCCTCTCACAGACTCACTCCTCTCACAGACTCCTCTCACAGACTCCTCTCACAGACTCCTCTCACAGACTCACTCCTCTCACAGACTCACTCCTGTCACAGACTCACTCCTCTCACAGACTCCTCTCACAGACTCACTCCTCTCACAGACTCACTCCTCTCACAGACTCCTCTCACAGACTCACTCCTCTCACAGACTCCTCTCACAGACTCACTCCTGTCACAGACTCCTCTCACAGACTCACTCCTCTCACAGACTCACTCCTCTCACAGACTCACTCCTCTCACAGACTCCTCTCACAGACTCACTCCTCTCACAGACTCACTCCTCTCACAGACTCACTCCTCTCACAGACTCCTCTCACAGACTCCTCTCACAGACTCCTCTCACAGACTCCTCTCACAGACTCACTCCTCTCACAGACTCACTCCTCTCACAGACTCCTCTCACAGACTCACTCCTCTCACAGACTCCTCTCACAGACTCCTCTCACAGACTCACTCCTCTCACAGACTCTCTCCTCTCACAGACTCCTCTCACAGACTCACTCCTCTCACAGACTCACTCCTCTCACAGACTCACTCCTCTCACAGACTCCTCTCACAGACTCACTCCTCTCACAGACTCCTCTCACAGACTCACTCCTGTCACAGACTCACTCCTGTCACAGAAACACAAACAGACTTAAGTGTTGTTCTGACTCGTGGTTGGTGTAATCTATGGACTCTTCTCAGACTCACTTGGAGCTGACTCTATCACAGAACAGATGTTGGATATTTGCTGGAAGAGAGTGTTTATACCTTGAACATACATAACAAAGTTTTATAATTGACCAAGTTCTAATTTTAAATCACTGTTCTTAAGAAAAAGCTGGTTTGTGTGTTCATTGAAAGGGACTGAATAAAGCATCCTTTAATTGTCCCACAGTGGGAAAATGTCAAAGTAAATACAGCAAAACTAGTATAATATATGTATTAGTGCTACTTTACGTTACAGTTATACACACTATACATGTTTTATTTTGGTGGTACACAGGAATATACAGTACATTCAAAAAAGAAGTGAGCAATAGATTTGATATTAAATCTGATCAAATTTTATTTTTTTAAATTGCGAGGTTGGATATTCTTAAATCCACATTAATAATAATATGTTGATACAATCCTGTGATACATTTTTACATTTACAATTATGCAAATTAGCATAAAAGTATTACAGACATTCAGAATCCATTTAACGAGATACATTAAAACAAGTATTCCATAAACAAATACATTTTCAAAGTATTTTCCACATCCTTACAATAATTGTGGTGATTCAATGATGACTATATATTTTGGTAGACAAACAAGTTGATACTGAGGGTTGATACAGAAGGAATGGTGTGAGAAACGTTAACAATAATGCCATAAACGCACTATGGGATACTCATTCCTACAGCAAGAATGACACGTCCTTGGGTTCATGTAAATACAACATCATGCAACACAGTAAAACAGAAAAAGTAGCGGTCCAAAATACACACATATGCAGCCTGGGAATTTCAGTCTGGTGGGCTACCTGCTGCAGCCAAGCCGGCCCCTTTCACCCTCGGCCAATCACACAGCACTGCCAACCTACACCGATCAAGCCGGCTGTTTAAAGAAAGAAACATCAACAACTAACCTTTATCCAAGCCATGTAAAGAGTTTGTTCTGGAGTTGGCTGTCAGGAATGAACCAGACAGAGACGGATCGTGGTGCGCCAAACTCTGGAAGTTTATTTTGGTTTCTCTCAAGTTCCAGTGGTTTCTGATGTTTCTTTCTCTCAGACAAAATGGAGTCAGTACATGATATTTATAGTCATTGTTACGTCACACATCGACATACGTGTCACACAGAGACAGAGAATATCATAGTCATAACATGGAGTCCTTGTATAGTCTTGCAGTTGTCCTGCACGTAGGCCAAATCACTATCTAATCCTCACACTGCCTATAGGGCACCAAACAAACAAACAATGAATAAATAATATCATGCTCTGTGTCTGTGTAGTCTCCAGATGGAAATATACTGAGGATAAATGTAACACCTATCCCTCAATGTAGCTCGAACAAACATGGCCTTTTTCCCACATGTGTAGGTTATATAGAATTGTTGTAATCATAGTAACAGCAGGAACAGTAACCTTCCCTCTGCAAATGAACAATAGAGATTGCTTTGCCTTTGTCTTAGATCTCTACTGGGAAGTCTGAATTTCTGATTTATGCAGCTAAAATCTGTAACAATCTTCCTGAAAGTGTGGGACAGGCTTCTTCTCTGACAATTTCTAAATCCCGGTTAAAAACAGTTCTGTTTAGCTGTGCTACAACTGAGGATATTTTATGTTTTATTTCTATCTTAATGTTTAATGTATTGTGATTGATTATAATTTGAATGCCTTTTGTTTCTGTCTTTGAGTTGCCTTGTGTATGAATTGTGCTATACAATTAAACTTGTGTGTGTGTGCGTGTGTGTCTGTGTGCGTGTGTGTGTGTGCGGTGTGTGTACGTGCATGTGTGTCTGTGTGTGTGTGTGCATCTGTGTCTGTGTCTGCGTGTGTGTGTGTGTGCATGCATCTGTGTGTTTGTGTGTGTGTGTGAGTGTGTCTGAGGGTGTATCCATTTGTGTGTGTGTGCGTGTGTGTGTGTGCATGTGTGTGTGTGTGTGAGAGGGTGTATGCATGAGTGTGTGTGTGTGTGCATGTGTGTGTATGCATGTGTGTGTGTGTGTGTGTATGTGTGTGTATGCGTGAGTGTGTGTTTGTGTAAGCCCTCAGTCGTACAGGGATTAGTCAAAGCAAAGGAAGGTTTCTCACCCATCATCTGTACTTCTTAGCAAGTTTTCACTTGCTGTGAGTGTGTGTGTGCATGCATGAGTGTGTGTGTGTGCGCATGTGTGTGTATGCATGTGTGTGTGTGTGTGTGTGTGTGTGCATGTGTGTGTATGCATGAGTGTGTGTGAGGGTGTGCATGTGTGTATGCATGAGTGTGTGTGTGCGTGTGCATGTGTGTATGCATGAGTGTGTGTGTGTGTGTGCATGTGTGTGTGTGTGTGAGGGTGTATGCATGAGTGTGTGTGTGTGTGCATGTGTGTGTATGCATGAGTGTGTGTGAGGGTGTATGCGTGTGTGTGTGTGTGTATGTGTGAGGGTGTATCCATCTGTGTGTGTGTGTATGCATGTGTGTGTGTGTGTGTGCATGTGTGTATGCATGAGTGTGTGTGAGGGTGTATGCATGAGTGTGTGTGAGGGTGTGCATGTGTGTATGCATGAGTGTTGTGTGCGTGTGCATGTGTGTATGCATGAGTGTGTGTGTATGTATGCATGTGTGTGTATGCATGAGTGTGTGTGAGGGTGTATCCATCTGTGTGTGTGTGTGTGTGTGTGAGGGTGTATGCATGAGTGTGTGTGTGTGTGAGGGTGTATGCATGAGTGTGTGTGTGTGTGTATGTGAGGGTGTATGCATGAGTGTGTGTGAGGGTGTGCATGTGTGTATGCATGAGTGTGTGTGTGTGTGCATGTGTGTATGCATGAGTGTGTGTGTATGTATGCATGTGTGTGTATGCATGAGTGTGTGTGTGAGGGTGTATGCATGAGTGTGTGTGTGTGTGTATGTGTGTATGCATGAGTGTGTGTGTATGTATGCATGTGTGTGTATGCATGAGTGTGTGTGAGGGTGTATCCATCTGTGTGTGTGAGGGTGTATGCATGAGTGTGTGTGTGTGTGAGGGTGTATGCATGAGTGTGTGTGTGTGTGTATGTGAGGGTGTATGCATGAGTGTGTGTGTGTGTGAGGGTGTATGCATGAGTGTGTGTGTGTGTGTGTGTGTATGCATGAGTGTGTGTGTGTGTATGTGAGGGTGTATGCATGAGTGTGTGTGAGGGTGTGCATGTGTGTATGCATGAGTGTGTGTGTGTGTGAGGGTGTATGCATGAGTGTGTGTGTGTATGCATGTGTGTGTGTGTGTGTGTGAGGGTGTATGCATGAGTGTGTGTGTGTGTGTGTGTGTATGCATGAGTGTGTGTGTGTGTGAGGGTGTATGCATGAGTGTGTGTGTGTGTGTGTGTGTATGCAGGCTGGCAGATGTTCATTAGCCCACGTTCCTTTCATCTCTGCACAGAGAACAATGGTCTGGCACTCTGTCCGGTCCTTTCATGAGCTAATAAGCCTCATATCTGACCTCAAACCAGGCAATAATCCATGTGGCGCTCAACACCTGGGATCAAGAGCAAGTTCGGGGCAGAATCAATTTGACAAGAACTTTGCCAGAGTATGAGAGAGGCCATGGAGAGCATTATTCATTTTTACTATATTGTAAAATACTTTGTAAAAATCTGGGGATATTTGCTATAACAATGTTTCCTTATTGTCATACAACACAATACAATAAACATTCTTTACACTAAAGACTTGGTCGTCCTCCTGAACATGTTTTTATGTTCGCAGAATTACAAATCTCCAACAGACCATGACCAGATCAGATCTGTCACATTTACAGCTGTACTAGACACATGCATACAGAACGTTTCCAGTTTGGGGAGAAATTGATGTGATTAATTGTGTGATCAAAGTGCATTCATTTATTTGTTTTTAATAATAGAAATAAACATTCCTCATCACCAGCTGCACTTCAGATGTAGACCTGAATTCTGACGAATACTCCATGAATCCAGGGTTATTTGTTTAAATTAGAGCCATCTATTCATGATTCCACATCAGCTACTGACAGACACCTACAATACAATACAATGTATTCTTGTATAGCCCTAAATCACAACAGCATCATCTCAGAGACTTAACAAAACCATTGAAATCACCAACACAGGTCAGAAAATCAACAGTTAAGACAAAAAAAAAAAAAAACATAGAACACGTGATTCAATGCAGTATTCATTTGAAACCGAAATATTAAAAAGGTATAGAGGAGGATGTTCTACCTCCGGGTGGATCATCGAGACTATTGGTCCTCCCAGTTGTCAATCATTCTGGTGATACGTGCTCATCAAATAAGACCAGAGAGTTATGTTCAAAAAGTGGAGAGGGCGGTTCTTTCCTAAAATGTTCCAAAATCCTCCAATACACCTTTAAACTATGCACTAAATTCAATGTAAAGAGAGAGTTTCTGGCTCCCACCTGTTTGGTTTCAGCACTAGTTTCTACATTCATGTGTTTTTGGCCTCGGTCACATCTTTAGATCAGCTTTTTCAGAGAGAAAAAGAGAGACTCAGCCTAACCTCACGCGGCCAATCCTCTCTCAGTATGTAAATGATGAAATGTTGAAATTCACATTTTAGTTATTTTTATTTTTTATTCTGTTCTTTTAACCTTGTTTATTTATGTACTTGTACAATGTAGTTTTACTGCAAATAAAATTAATCGGTTTCTTTATCCTTGTCCTATCCTCAAGTAAAATTTCCCTAAACTTGACCAGCCCTGGGTCATTTAGACCATTTTCAACCCTAGTTTAGAATTCCTTCTACTTTTATTCATCCAGTATTCCAGCTAAATACCTGCTTGAGTGCTGAGAACATTTGTGTTTCTAATTCCACCTTTGTCCATTGATTTTTCACAGACTTTCAATCTACCTCAAAAAACAACTGACGAGGTGAAATCTGGAGAGTTTTTAAAGCACTTTTCCTTTAATGGTTTGGAAGTGGCTCTGAAAAGTTTTCTTCATTCTGCGTATTTGTTTTATAATATAACAGCATGAATTATATTATGCACTCAAAGG